AACAGGGAGCCCTGTTGAGTGACTTTTGTCTATAAATTAGTGAGCAGATGAGCGTAATATATCAGCATGTTTTATCAACTGCACTTTTTACGGGCTACTGTCCAATTAAAATTTAGTAATATTAGCAGCAGAATGGTAGAGCCCAAGGGCCAACCAAAAACAGGACCCACATGCCTTGTGCTAGGCATTGTACAAACAGAATATACACTGCCATTATGCCAAAGACCTTATAGTTTAAATCTACAAGACCTCTAGGGAGTAGAGGACAAGAGTTAACATAAATGCAGACTGATGATAAATTCATTACTTTTATTACAAAAATTCTGCCGTGGGGTTTTATTAGGAGATTCTCCAAATGGAAAAATAATTTAGGAAAGAAGATCATGGAGGTCTGGGGAGGATATAAGAGGGCAAGAGTGGAGGAAAGAGGATGGAGTATGGAGGACAGTTGAGTAGAGGCTCAGGTGAAGTTGGTAAGGGAGAGGGCTGGAGTAAAAATCTCATCAGCAAAGAGGACAGTGTCCAGATTATACTGTTAGAAAGCAATCTTCAGTATAACATTGTTAGTGTTAAATAGTCCCTTTTCCAGTGCCTGCTGAGGTTGCTGCTTGTGTATGTTCCTGCCGACTTGAATTTCTGTTCTGTGACCTTCATGATAGTTTAGTAAACATTGTGAAAAGGTAAAACATTGAGTAGGAAAAAGTAGTTTTAGCAATATTGTGCACTTGCATAGCACCTTCCATCCAAAGCCTAGAGCACTTTGAGCACAAATTTACTCCCAATACCTCAAAAGTGTTCAGGGGAAATATTACCATTTTCATTCAAATGGAGGAAACTTAGGCCAAGAGTGGTTATGTCATTACTCACGTAGCAGTGAATTTGAATACTGGTAATCTCATGCTCTATTGACAGTTACGTTGTCAGAAAATCCAAACACATAATGCTTGCGGAGGGTTTCTACCTTGTGCTTCTGTAAAAAGTTGAGTGTCTTTCAGATTCTACTTTTTCTGAGAAATTGAAGTTCTGTTGCTAGTTTTTACCTGTCAGAGAATAGACAGCTTGCATCCATTTCTGTGACATGTCAGGCTCTGAAATGGTTATCCATACTTCTGTCATAACAAGATTAGATTACTGAATTTCTTTGTGGGTTGGCTTGCTTAATAACACTTTCCACAAACTCCAGCTGGTGCAAAACACAGGTGCCAGGTTCTTTGTGAAAAGGGGGTGATCCAAACATGCTGCACCAGCTCTAGTTGCTGGATAAGCATATAAAGGCTTTAAAAACTGCAGTTTTAATCTTAGATGCTGCATGCTTTTAATCATGTACTGTCCTGTGCTTGAGTGCATTTGCTTATCGGATAGTATTTTGTCTAGTCATCTAGTCGATATTCTCTCTCCGCCCTCCCCCCTTTGCTGCCACTTTGAAACCCCAAGGCGGCTTTTCAAAAGGGCAACCACCGCCCAGCTGATCTGTGGATCAGCTGGGCGGTGGCTGCCCCTTTGAAACTGCCGCCTGTGTGCCTTTCAAAGGGGCAGCCATGGAGCCTGGGGTCAGCTGGGGATTCCCCCGCTGACCCCGTGCTTCCCCGCAGCATTTCCCCAGAACCCAGGGTCAGCGGGGGAGTCCCCAGCTGACACTGGGCTCCTAGTGGCATGCTGTGTAGAAGTTCCCCCACTGACACTGGGCTCTATGGCTCTGAAATGCACAAGAGCCCTCGCTGGATACTCTTTTGCATTTCAAAGCAGACATGCCGCGTGCAACCCTGAGTCAGTGGGACTTCCCACTGGCCCCCAGCTGTATGCTGAGTTCCACATTCCTCCTTTGAAATGTACAAGAGCTCCAGGAGGGGCTCTTGTACATTTCAAAGGAGGAATGTGGAAGGCCTATCAACTAGTTGATGGAAATTACATCGACTAGTCAATTAACCGCATTTTAACATCTTATTTCACTGTTGTGCATTTATTTTCTTTGCTCTGTATGGAGCTAAAAGCAAATACCAAAATTATCCTTTAGCCAGAATACTGCTTGCTTTTATTGGAAAAGCAAACACTTAACATATCAACAATTGGATTGAAATCTGTTATAAAACCCTATTACAATTTTAACTTCATTATGCTAATCTTTACGTAGGTCTTCCTTACAATAAAGTGGAGATGTGATCTAAGACTCCATTTAATTAAAACATTTGTTTTTCAGCAACTAATCAGCCACTATAAGCAAAGAAAGGAGTATAAATCCGTGTTGATTAAGACCTTGTCTGGATTTGTACTTTTGGAGGCTATTGGTGGCCAGCTATTTGTGTAGCTGCCCCAGTGCAATTCCCTGGAATAGACGGGTACAGCTTCTGTTTGTGTCAATGCAGTTTATTACCTCTTTCCGTAGAGGTGATTTCTCTTCTGACTGAAGTTTAACATAGGTCAACCTTTCTGTTGTAATAGCTTTATATCTTCAACCATATGAAGTTTTTAGTAGGAGGATTTTGTGTGGCTTTTTTCCAGCATGATGCAACTGTGCGGCTGACGGTTACATGTGTTATAGTAATTGGTCAAAACCCATATGTCTCAAACACTTTGGCTTTGACAAAATGAAATTAAATTGAAAATGTTCTGACCAGTGCTCTGTTCTCTTGTTGCTTCCTGATTATAAAAGGGATTGACGTCTAAACAAACTGCTGAAATCCAGTCATGGATATCTAGTGTGGGCAAGAATATTCAGCTAACTAGGTCTTCTAAGACTCCGTTTATTTAAAGCATTTGTTTTTCAGCAGCTAAAACAACCAGTTTAAGCAAAAGGAGCAGAAATCAATTTTTACTATTAAAGCCTTGTCTAGACTATCTAAATTTGTTTTTTGTTGCAAGAGCAGCCCTGTGACATGATTTTTGCTGTTTCTTCCATTATTCTGACTGACAGTTTAAAGGCTAACATCCCTGTTCCTATTAAATTTAATGATTTTTTTCCCATTGACTTTGGTGGGAAGGGGCCCCAAGTTAGTTTACCAAGGTCTGTCACTTATACTTCATAGATAAGTTACTTGTACATAACTTACGTTTCCTCTAGCAATATCTTGAGCTGCCAAAATAAGCATTTTGAATATTTTGAAAAGAATGTGTAATTTTGTCCAGGAACTATGTTAAGCTCACAAATATCTTGTAGCAATGTGATACTGTATATGTTACAAAACATTATTTGAGCTAATGTTTATGAAAAAAGGAAGTAATGATAGGTTTGAAAAAGTACATTGGCAAAACTATAATAGAAGCTTGTGACTTCTGATATTCATTTGTCTTAAAATAATTCGCTGCCTATAACTCTTACTGGAATTATATATGGAAAAACATTCCACTTTCCTGGAAGTGGGAGAGGAACTTGTATAGAAAGGTCATCTTCTATAGACTGAGCCAAATTCTGCCTTCATTTACACCTGGAGAAATCTAGAGTAACTGTTTTTTACAATGGAGTATAATTTAGGGAAGAATTTGGTGTCCATTTGTGAAGTGCTAGACCTGTTTCCAGTGTATAAGGGTTTATCATTTCCTTTTCAGTTTTCATGGTTCTCTTTGAGATCTGTTACCTCACAAATTTTCGTAATTGCAATGAAGTCATAATTCTTTGTCACTCTTAGCATAGAAATGATGCTACAAATTCAGAGCACATCTCCATCCTCAACAGTTGGTAAAGGTTGATAATGAGGATGAGGAAGACTTTGCTCAACAAAGACAAAGTGGTTAGCTGAACCTTCAAAGCAGCTGTGAAGCAGAAATACAAAAATAACAATATAGTGCTTCTGGCAGGCTCATTGAAAGTGTTAATTTTCATCTCTAGTGAATACTAATGGCTTCTCTACACCTGGGCATTGGACTCACATGTTCAAAGTGTGTGTGTGTGTTCAGTTGTAATCATCAATAATAAAAATTTAAGACCAGTTAAGCACATGAAACTTACTATAAAATGTAACCAGAGGAAATTTAGAGCTAGAAAACATTGTATATGAAAAGTACGAGAAGTGGATTGACGTTGGAAATTTTTAAATGTTTCTATCATAAGCAAGCACCTCTAATAGTCAGAGCAGACACTATGCACCTTGACAGTAGGCTTGGTTTCTTGTGTGGAGGACTAAGAGGAAAACCTGTCCTTTTCCATTTATTTAGATGGCAAGGCCTTGGGGGCAGAGATCTTAGTTTGTGCAATGAAGAACATGTATTTGTGTGTACTTTCTTAAACTTCCAAACTCAGATCCATAGCAATTAATCTGAAAGTTTAGTGATCATATTAACTAACACACGCCAACAGAAACACTTACATTCTACATGTTGTACCACCCTAAACCAGGACTCTCTGTTCCAGCAACATTTGTGGCCCAGCAGAACTACTGATGATCCTGGACCAGAAAGCTCAGGTGCAGGGAGGTCTGGTGGCACGGTGGGGGAAAAAGGGAGGGAGGAGGAAGGGCGAGTCAGCAGCTGGAGGGGTTGGTGGGCTGGGAGGGCCCATGGCAGGGGACCTCTTCTGTTCCAGCAAATTTTCTCATTTGGGACTGACCCAGTCCTAAGAGTGCTGGACAAGGGAGGTCTAACCTGCAGTTGCAAAGAAAGCTAGGCTGTTAATAGTATGTTTTGACTGAAAATGTCTGATTGCAGGTTTCATATTTATTTTGAGGGTTTGCCTTCATTAGGCTGGAAAAATCTACAGCTTCCATATTTGTGTGTGTATTAAAACATTTGACAAACTAAAAAAAATTCTAAACATAATGTTTTGTTTTTTCAACTAAGGGACACTGTTGGATAGTTTGTATTCAACTTGGCTCACTGTATTAATAGCAACGATTCTGTATTTCCAGTTTTTGTCTTGTCTTCTATCCCAGAACTGATCAGGCCTAATTTTGTGTAACTTGGATATTTTGTAATTGCAGCCTCAGGGTGTCGTGGCTACAAATTCATACTCAATTCATCGTATGCATACAAGATGCCTAACTGAGTTCAAATATTTTTCCCCTCTACAGGCCTATGAAGAGTATACCAGCAAGCTAGATGCTCTACAGCAGAGAGAACAGCAGTTATTAGAATCCATGGGGAATGGAACCGATTTCTCTGTCTCCAGCTCTGCTTCAACAGACACAGTTACATCCTCCTCCTCCTCTAGCCTCTCTGTAGCACCTTCATCCCTTTCAGTTTATCAGAACCCCACAGATGTGTCACGGAATAACCCCAAGTCTCCACAAAAACCTATTGTTAGAGTCTTCCTACCCAACAAACAGAGGACAGTGGTGAGTCAGCCCTGCGTATATGCTCATAACCTTACTTTTTTGTGCATCTGTCCACCTCTATCCCTGTATAAATGAAACCTAGAAGCAAAAAAATGTATCTGTAGACATATGAAAGGAAAATGTGTAACATAATTTTTGTGTTCTTCCAAAGTCTGTTGATTGTTTCAACTTCGGTACAAATAACACTGTACAAAGCAGTAATACCAAGGAGATTGATTCTGTTATGTGCAACAAAAGGGGCAAAATCGTAACTTTAAGTGATATAAAAATGGATGCCCAGATTTTTGAAAACTGTTCTAAGTCAGCATAGCTATTACCCAGACTTAGTTTTGACTAGTACTGTTTCATTGTATATTTTTGGGTTGGGAGCTTAGTGTTCTATTTCTATGTACTGTAATGTGTATTGCAAGTAACTCATTGGTTTCCAAACTGGTCTCTGAACTGCTGGTGACTTACAAGCAGATGGAGGTCATAGTGTTGGTTCTTTGCTTCCAGTGACTTCTACAAGGCTCTTGATTACCAAGAGCAGCCTTGGCAGCGGAGAGTGAGAAGGAAACAAGATAGTAGAGCTAACTTTTTTTGCATCCATGTGGAGTAGTAGCAGGTGGTGGAGTAGTAGTAGGTGAGGAAGTTGCTACTGTGTGTGGGCTGGAGTAACCCCTGTTTGCGGTGGGGAGGCCACTCCAGTCAAGCCACAACTAAGGTTGAGTGTGGGGTGGAGGGGAGGAGTTTTAGTCCAGCTGGGCTGGAGCACCCCCCCCCTTTAAATTGGTTAAACCTGATGTTTAACTGGTAAACCAATTAAATGGGATTTTTACATCCCTCGAAAAACAGTCTTTCAAGTTCTTTGTATCTCCAAAGTTTGTTTTTTTCACTAACAAAAGTTAATCCAATAAAAAGTTACATCAACTACCTTGTGTTTAATAGTTAAAATGTCACAAGTCAACAGTTTCCAAACTTTATACAAAGGTGACCCACCCAACTGTATTTTGTCGTCTTGGAGAACTTACCATTACCCCAGTTAAAACAATGAGGAGTCCTGTTTGGGCATATGCTTTTGTGTGCAAAAACCTACTTTGTCATATGCAACCCTCCCAGTTGGCTCCCTGCACCCCTTTGGCCCTCTTTTTCCCAGTCCTGCCCCTTCCTGCAGCTCCAGCGGGCTACTCTCTACTCATGGCCAACTGGGTCACCATCTTTTCCAGGCTTCTGACTGTTCATTGTCTCAGGCTGCTTCTTCCATGCTGCTGTTGTCCAATCCCACTCCTCAGACTGCCAACTGCTTTCCAGGAGATGAGAACCAGTGTAGGGGGAGGACACCTGTGGTAGATCAAGGACCTACTGTTTGGGAAACACTGCAAAATTAGAGCTGTTTTCTGTATTTTTTTAAAACTGTTTACTGTTGTGCCTTTACAAATGTTTTGTGTATGGTCTGTTTCCCTGCTTTTTTGGGGGGAGGAGGGTGTTTCAGTAGAAAAACACTTTAAAAATAGAAAATAATTGTGAAGCCACGAAAAATGGCATGGGGACTCGAACTTTTAGTATCTAATACTATTTAATTTTAAAAAAATTGGCTGTGTAATGCTTCAATAAAAACCCTACAAAATATTTTGTTGCATTAAGGAAAGTTGGAAAAAAAAAGTGGTGTGAGTAGTATTTTAAAAAATATTTTACTCCAATTGCTGTAGTTTTCATAAGGATGGTAAATAATGGCTGGTTCAAGAGGAAATATATACAAGGTCTAGTCTATACTATGGCAGAGTTTGAGGACCTCTGAAAGTGTGCGTTTATGGAAAAAGAGAGCCCAATAGAGTATTAATGAACACTATTGATAATACCATAACTATCCTTACGGAATGAGTACACTTTCTTTGGCCAAAAGTGAAAATGGGAAGTATTGATCAATGAGGGATGAATCCTAATGTGTTCCCAAGACCTTTCTGAACTAAGCTGATTAATGTACTATTATAAAAAGCTGATCACAAAAATATGCTACCCCTCAAACATGTATCAAGTCAAAGCAAGGATTTGGAATTTAGCTTCACTGATTCAGGCTTGGACTGTGACAGTTTTAAGGACCCATTTCTTACAACGTGCCAAAGCTAGAAATAGTCCTTTACATAACTTGAATCACAGGTATTCACAACTTTCATATAAAGCATTTTGTACTTTTGACTCACTGCTGCAGTGCCTTCTGCTGGTCACATAAGGAGTTTGCTTAGTTTATTAGAGTGCATCACCTTCTGGACAGTCTTTCCCAACATTTCCCTGCTGTCCCCATTGCCTGTAGCTGGACCCATGTAGCTCCCTGGACTGCCGTGTCTTGAATTATTCACCTACCACTAACACCGAATGCAGCCCCAAATCGAGCTGCTTGCCTCAGGTGCAAGTCACAGTCTATATAGGTCGTGCTCCGGTGTGGTGCAGGATCGGGGAATCCGGTCCACCCACTACTCTGGTTCCTGATCCAGGAGCCCTCTGGCAGCAGCCATCTCCTTCTCGCCACTTCCCTGGTACCCTTGCACCTTCTTGGCACTTGAATTAAGGCCCATAGCCTGGGAGGTATTGGGCTGGAGAGTCTCTTTGCCCCTCTCCCTCCCCCTCCCCCTCCAGCCACCTGCTCAGCATTGCTCCATCCAAAGTTCCACTGGCTCCTGCCCCTCCTAGGACCCTGCTGGTCAGGACAAGAGTGAGCTCCCCATAGTTTTGCAGTCTTTTATAGGCCCTGCCTGGCCCCGATTGGCTGACTGCTCCTCTCCCTAATTGGCCTGGTTTGCACAGGCTCCCTCTCATCTACATGTAACCCACCCCTGTCTGCAATGAGCATAGGCCCACTGTGGACAGAGGCTGGTCCTTGCAGCTGCCCCTGTCTGGCAGCTTTCTGCGGACAGTGTGGAATAGCCTCTGTCTGTGGGGAACTGGGACCTCCCGTGGACAGGGGGCTGCTGCTTGGATCAGCCTCTGTCTGTGGTGAGCCCAGGCTCACCATGGACGGAAGCTGCTTCATAGAAGGCAGAGAGGCCTCTGTCCATGGGGAGCTTGTATTCCCCGTGGACAGGGGCTGCTGCCACCCCGCATTGCTGTCTCTGTGTCCAAGGTAGCAGCATGGGGCAGCAGGTAGCCGTTCTGTGCAGGGAACTGGTTTTTAAAATGGCTCCCCTCACAAACTGGCTCCTGCCTGATACCCTGTGCTGCTGCCTCCGTATTGGGGCAGCAGTGTGGGGTAACGGGACTGTCCGGGAGTGCGGCCAGATTGAATAGTTGAGTAACCCCTAAGAATTACTCGACTATTCAGTTACCAGATATCTAACACCCCACTACACACTTGTTCCTATAGAAGTGGATTGAGAAAGTGGGCCTTAAATAATTAAATGTTAATAAAAACTAATGGAGAAGTATCTGGTTTTTAAATCTGTTAGTTATGTTGTCACGCCAAGAAATGCACATTAAGTGAAATCAGCTTGTTTTCACAGCTTTCCATCTGTTTTGTGCAATTAGTTGTCTACTTTTAAAAAAGGAATTAGAAAATCCATTGTCTCTCTCTCTCTCTCTCTCTTCCATGTTTGACTGAAATAAAGGCTTGACAAATGATTTAGCACATATGCAAACTGTGAATATCTGATACTACTTCTCCGTGGCTATTCCCCCTGCAATTTGAACAAATAACAGTAGTGCGCTTTGTGTTCTGATTAAATACGCTATTCAATAAGTACCTGTGAAATGTCAGCTAGTTCATCCTCGTTATTATTGGACATCCTCCTCACTAAACTGTAGAGACAGTATTTTTAGTTTTTGTTTATACCATTGGTCCTGGCCTGCTTTTTATTCTTTACTCTTTTCTGTGTGGATCATGGTGCATTTTCTACAGTGTTTTCACTGTTTTTCCTTCTCTGTCCCTGCTCATCGCTTTCTCTTCCCTTTGTTGTCTGTCTATCTCTTACTACCCTTGACTCCTCTTCTCCTGTTTTACATGGAGAATACAGTCTATATTCTCCAAACTTACAACACTTAGTCTGTGAGTAATGATTGAACTTTGTGGGATTTTGGAATATATCTGTTAATTTCAGGTCCTATTAATTAAGAATGACCTACTAGAAAAGTTTCCATTTCTTGCTAACCAAAGTGGATAAAAAGAAATGGCTTTAAATTAAAAAAACAACTCTATTTAATTTTAAACTTGTCATCCTGTTGAATTAGAACTTGGCCTCCTGAGAGTTCTGGGTTGCTGACTCCTATGCTGAGTCACAGGAGTCTTAAGCTGACCTTCTGTGGAAGGACCTTGTGAGGCTGGGTTCAGGAAATACAGCAAAACCAGAGTGGCAGTACCTTGTGACTCCCTGATTAGTAAATACCAGTATATAAACCAGGAAGGAGAGCTCTCTGAACAGCTACACAGTTTGCCCATTTATTGCAGCAGACTCAGCTGTCAGTAGGCCCTAAACCAGTGGTCACCAACCAGTAGATCGGGATCTACCAGTAGATCTTGGAGCTTCTGGCGGGTGATCCTGACTGCTTTGTCCAGGGAGCTATCAAGCACTGGCACTTCAGTTGCCCCTCCACCCACTGTCAGCTGTTCCTTCCCTCTGCCTTGGAGTGGCCCCCCTGAGAGCCTCCTGCTTGCTGTGCAGTGTGGGAGGGAGAAGAGGGAGAGCACTGATGTCAGGATGTCCCTCCTCCCTCCTCTTCTGTATCCTATCGCCACACAAAGAGAAGGGGATGGAGGGAGCCTGGCAATGCAAATCTGTCACTCACACATCACGTGTGTCTCTATCATTCTCACAAATACACTCTGTCCATCACTCATCTCCCCACCTAACTTATACTTGGGGGGATGTTGTTACTTCTTTTACTGCTTCTCCTGCAGTCTCTGAGAGAGGCAGAGCACGTGCTGTCCACATGCTGTCCTTGCCTGCAGAAACCCCTCCTGCAGCTCCCATTGATCAATAACGGGGAACTGGCCAGTAGAAGCTGTGCGCTCAGTGCCTGTAGATGAGGGGCAG